ATGGAATGAGAATACTTTTGCTTAGCAACTGAAATACTTATTCGGGGCTTAAATATATTTCTCAAATGAATACGTAGTAAATTTATTTCTCAAGATTAAAAAAAAATTGCAATTTGATAATGAATATTATACGGAGTTGTAAAAGGGACACTGCATATTGAATTTTTCAATTCACCGTTTTTGTAACTATATTTAAATGCTGTACGAATTAATTAGGAATTGCAAAGCAGGAAACATAGTTAAAACAATTTGTGCTCCTGAATTTTGAACAAACGGGCAGCTTGGAATATTTGAAACATCGCTGTTTTTTCTGTTTATTTATTTATTTTTAAAGTTAAACATAGAATGGGAGCTCATGAAAGAGTGTTACGTGATTTGATCCTTTTTTTTTTCGGTCCGATTTAATTATGTTGCCACTGTTACTTATCTAATTGGATTATAATGTGAATTACTTCTGAATAAAATAGCTGCACGGAACTTTCAATAGATTGTGTTTAAAAGTAAATGTTTTGACAACTGAAACTTTTTTTTTTTTTACTTTACAACAAAAAGTAAATGTTCTGACAACTGAAACTTTTTTTTACTTTACAACAAAAAGTAAATGTTCTGACAACTGAAACTTTTTTTTACTTTACAACAAAAAGTAAATGTTCTGACAACTGAAACTTTTTTTTCAGTTGTTTCAAAACTGGGGGGGGGGGGAACCCTAAGGAAAGGAAGCTTTGATTTTCAACAAATAAATGTCAGACCCGACACGTATGAGTTGACATTTTCCTATTTTATTTTTATTGGTGGGGGGCAAGCAATTTTTTTTTCGTTACTTACAAATTGGAAAATTTTCCAATTAAAAACGGTTTTCTCCCTTCGTTTTCAAAAATTTCAAATTCTCTCACATCTAAACATGGATGACAGAAGCAATGTTTCAAATGCCACAATTCACAAAAAATCCTGTTCATAACTAACCAGATGACATGCTGCGTACCACTCATATTAAAGCCTACTGGCGAGAGCAATTTTAATATCTGCTTATTGTTAACTATAACACGGATCTTGCGTTCAAAATACTAGAAACAATTAATAAACACAATTTTGCACATGCAAAATTTATTTAACATATTTCATAATTTTGTAAATTAAATAATGACTAATTATTCTTTACAAACGAGCAAATAAAAATTCTAATAATTAAAGAAATGTGTTCATCAAAAATTAATAAATAAATTTATCAATTATGCAGTTAAACGAGCAATGAAAAAGGCTGAAATAGAAGTAATGGTCATTCTTTAAAGATAATTTTCAGCGGTAGGATATTTTGAAATAAATCTTTTCTTTGATAGAATAGTTTTTTGTTTTTTAATTTTATATTTCGTATTTTTATGTGCAAAATTCCAAGGAATATTCTGAAAATAAGTCTCAGCAATTTTTTTTCAAATAAAAATTTAAATGCATTACAGATAATAACCAGACGAATATGTCACATGATTTTAAAATTTTCATATAAAATTATACGCGAAAATAAACTAGGAAAATTTCTCTACATTTTGCAAGAAATTTTGAAAAAAAAAAACTGAAATTATTTTTTTAAAAGCTTAGATTCAAAATACATTCTCAATGATATGTACGCTAACAAACTTTCTGCATCTTTGGTTAAATCGTTCTTACGAAGGGTCTAATTTATAATCACTTCAAATCCCTATTTACATTAAAATTGAGCTGTCATAGAAAGGTTTTCGGAGGAGCATTAGTAAATCCGTTACACATTTTGATAGCACTAAAATTAGACCTAAATATTTTTGTTTTCATATGTAAAGAACGACAAATACTTTCGCGAAAATTTTAAAATATAGGAAGAAAAATAAAAGTTATTTATGAGAAATTTAAATAAATAAATAGCTAACTACACAGAAAGAATTAAATAATTATTGCTCAATATAAAGAAAAATGTCTATGAAGGGCATGAATCAGTGATTGTAGGTTTCAGGCATATAACAGAATTAGGTTATTCCAAACTGTCTATTTACTTGTATGTAGCTATTTAGCTGAATATGCATTTATGCTGAATAAATACAATATGTTTACCAATTAAAGATATTATATAAAGAAATAAATTGATAATAGTTATGATATTAATGATGAATAGTTATGAAATAGTTATTATATAGTTATTAGTTATGATGAATAGTTATACGTATCTTTAACTACTCTACTCTTTCCCGGAAGATAATCTGTCTCGTTATATATATATAAGCGTTAATTTTTACTTTAAATACCTTCCAACAATTTTATGACCCAAATCGTTTAAAAATCATAAAATAACAAACTTGAATTGAGGCAGGCTGAAATACTATTTATAATCAGTCATTTGTAAGTAGGAAAGATAACGGAAATAATCTTTTAAAATATTAAAACTGTAATTTCAATGAATGCATAATTATTATAAACGTATGCAAATATTACATGTATAAGAACAACAGTTTAGAAATTAATCAGAAAACGAGTAATAAAAACCACACTATTGTCACTGCTATTTAGCGATACGCAAAATTTAATTTTATTAATGATAACTAAACTATACACAGAATGTAATTATGTTTTTCTACAAATTTCAAATTTGTGTTTACATAATTAATACAGCAAATCGGAATCTCTATAATATATTATATTAAAAGCTACATTTAGGAAAACAATATTATATTGGATTGCAATGTAGTAAATGTAATAAAATATACTATGACTACATCGTAAGTCATTAATTTCTAATAAAAATAATTATGAGAGAAAGGGAAAAAGTCTTAGAAAAGCCCTCCTCATTTGAAGGATAGATAAATAATATATAATTATTTTATTACCTTTCATTACGTTTCGAAAGTAATACCAAATAATTAATATGTAACTATGAATTATTAATTGGTAAAATTTATAAATTATACAATATTACATTACTTACAGTAATTTTCAATTTACTATTAATTAGAAATGAAATTTTATGTACAGTATAATAAAAAATGGAATACTTGAATAACTAAAAAAATTATTACGAAAATTTTTTTTAATGATAGGGGCTATTTACATAACGTTTGCCATTATTATGCATTGTATAAAGTAGTTCATTTATGCAAAATGTTTTCTTTATACTATATTCCTCATTTGTTGTGAGGTATAATATTCTGTTTCAGAAATTCACTTTCCTTCTCTCGCTGTAAGTTCTCCTCACTTGAGGAGTGCTAAGTCACTATTACTTTATAGTCACTATTAAGAAGACTATTGAAGTTTATAAAAATTATGCGCTTATTAAATGCAATTTTTTATTCGCGGGTATATATTAATTATAAAATAAAATCAAAATAAACAAATAAAAAATCTAAAAGCTTTCAGATTTTATATTACGCCCAAAGGTGAGTTTTTTTAACGTTTTGTATGTTACCTTTATTTATTAAACATGATGTTCTTCGCACTTAAGCCAGAAAATTCAATTCAACAGCATTATCACAAAATAATTTTAAAAGGGCATATCTTTGGAATTTCCGAAACACAGTCTCGCGTGCTGCAGATAATTTTTTTTTTTCATACAGTGTTGCCATTGCTCGCTTTTAAAATCGCTGAGTTTGTTAATAAAAAATTCGTTAACGTTTTACAAAATATGAAATAGATAATAAAACAAATTCCAAATTAGGGCTTCCACATGCCATATTCTATGGAAGATTACGTTATTCAAAATTTGATGGCTTTAGGTACCGTTGCTTTCTCACAGTGCCAGAAACATACATGCAGATTCTACATTATTTAATTTCTTTAAATATAATACAGGGCTCTAATATTTGATGGTAACAATTTGAAAAGAGAAACGCTGTTTATAGTGAACCAACGCAAAATGCCAAAACGAAATTAATAACCCTTCTAGGCAAATTGCCCTTTTGGCATAAGAAACTTATGATTACTTATCTTCAACTATTAAACTATTGAACCAATGTTGATAAGTGATATATAAAGGAATATCTTCAATATATAGAGGGATCCATAGATTCCGGTGGGAATTTAGAATTCTTTTGACTTTTAGAATAAATATATTTGAAAGCTTTGATATCCAGATTAAATATCAATCATTTGCAGATAAAACTTACTTTCGAAGACTTTTTAACTATTTACATAAATTTTCACTGTGTGTATAAAACGCTTATTTAGCTATTACATAACTATAATTCATACACCTGTGGAAGATTTCAAATAATTATCAAGTTACATGCAAAACTAAAATTTTCGAAAGCCTAAATTGTAAACAATAAAATTTTCGGAAAAAACACTGAATATAAGAAAAGATTTAAATGTAGAATAAGAAAAGATTATTATGCCACAAATTAATTTGGTAAGTTTAACGAAATGTTTTAAGATTTAATAATGAAAACTTTAATATGTAGTGAGGTTTGTTATGAAAAAATTCGTAACACATCCTTTTCATAATAAACCAGAGAATTTAGATTAAAATAACAAGGCGAATAATGATTATTGGAGAAGTCAAACAACAAGAATCAGCATTATATTTGTAAATTTTCAAGGACTGGTTTCGATGGTTCTGTAGTCAAACCATTGAAACGAGTCCCGGAAAATTTACTAATATAACGCAGATTCTTGTTGTTTGACTCCTCCAAAAACCAGTGAATGTCAACTGATCAAAATTCTCTCATAAAAGATAAGCATACATAGCTTAAAAACTGGATTTTTAGAACCATTTTTGAAATATGAAACAGGTCAAAGTAGGCTCCAGGCATAGGTGATATAGATAGCTGACTTATGGAGTAAATTTTCAGAGGGCAACAGCTAAATTGTTGCCATAAGCAAAAATTAAACAAGATAGTATTTCGCTTTGAATTATTAATATATTAATTTATGAGGGAGTCAAGTAAATGCACTGATCGCCTAGGACACCGAAAATGTAGGGCACCTAAGGCTGAGCCGGAAAAAATCTTATCTCATTGTTATTCCAATCAAGATAAAGCCCTTACCTTCCATGTCTTTCATCGTGTTGCCAGAAAAACAGTTAGTCCCCACAGGTGCCCAATCATAGCAGCAGTCTAAGGCACCCATTGTCCGTTGCCCGACGGACATCAGCTGCGGCATGTATTCGCTTGTATGTTCGGACATGAGAGAATCAATGCTGAACGGATTACTGCGGCCCAGCACTAAGCCGTTGAAATCCATTCTAGCTCTAACACGCGAAACGTACGCTGTGGCCGAGTGCGAGGGGCGTGGTTTTACTCCACGCCTTTTGGGAAAGGGAAGACTGGAGAGCACGCCTACAGTTTGTTTATTGGTTCGTTTGTGGTAGCTGCGAAATGGGAAGCGTAATTGGTCAAACTACCACAGGTATTATTTGATGTAGCATGCGCAAATCGTAGTAAATCTGTTGTGAAGTCAAATTCTATTTGGAATTGCATTAGCAGAGAGGATTTTGGTGATACAATTATAAGAGTGAAAGTTCTGTCACATATTTCGCCAAATATTAAAATTTATGAAAAATGATGAAGTGAATGAATGATGGCGTGAAAAATGAATATCTGTTTTGAGGAAATAATAGAACGAATATGTTGTCTTCGTAAAAATCGACGTGATTAATATGCATCAAGATAAAAATTCTAAATAAATTCAGATAGCTGAGGAAATGTAACTTATTTTATAAAAATGTTTACTTTTTTGTTTTCAAGTACTTTTAGGTTTTACTCATACAAAATGTTTGACTCTTTGTAAAAATTCATTGCTATAATACTTAATAAGGTTAATTAACTTTTACATATTAGTTAATATTAATTTGTATTAGAAAAATTATAAAAGCAGTAGTAATAACAAGGAAGAGAAAGTATGTCAAGATAAATCTGAACCGTTGGTATTTTATTATTAGAAATTATGATATTATTCTTCAAATGTTTTTCTCCGAGACCTAAACAACGTTTAACAATATCATTAAAAATGTTCACTCTGAAAGAAATTAAAAGACGATGAAAAAACAATTAAAACAGCTTACCAAATCAAAATATTTCCAAGTATCCTACAAATAGCAAAAATAATATAAAACCAGCTGCATCTTTTTAGGAATTCTCATGCTTAAGGAAAATCTGAGAATGCTTTTTCGACTGCACAAATTTATTTATCAAACAAAAAGTGGGTAATTGCTATATCTCCCCTCCTCCAAAAGAAAGATGTTTTAGTTTGTTTTAATTAATACATAGAAAATATATCACAGTTTTTCGCTTTCTATCTGGAGAAATCTTAACGTTTTCAAATTTATCTGCTATTTTTTTTTCCCCTTGGCTGCGTTAATGTAGGGGGGATGGAAATGTTCTTTGCGGTTATGTATGCGCAAATAGGTAATAAATCTTAAAAAATAAATAGCGAGACACAGATTTCATCATGGGGGGAACCTAAATTTAATTCACTTATGACACTTTTTTTTTTCCTTTCTATAACCAAAATCTTTAGCCCGAAATTATTTGTGGCTGAAAATATGTGGAAGACTTTTTTTAAAAAAAGATTTTTTTAATCGATATGCATTTGAATTTAAAAAAAAAATTTAAATCGATATGCATTGTCTAAAGACCTCGAAGAACAGTTTATCATTAAAATTAAAAATAAAAATAATAATCATAATAGAAAAGTGAAGTGAAAAAACAAAAAAATAAATAAATAAATGAAATTTAAATGAACGTGAAAAATAAATAAATTGATAAATAAATTTCTGAAAAACCAAGTAACGATATGCATTATGAACACACTTTTTTTGTCAGTTACAATAAAGTCGCAGATGTTCATAAAAATAATCCCTTAATATATCTTAAATTTTATAATGTAAATAAACAACTTACTTACATCGATTACATTTTAAAAAAGTAAGTAAAAGGTTAAAATTCTGAGAAGTCACGTATGTAGGGCCGCAGAAGAGAATTCGACCAGGGTTCGATCCCAGGCAAACGAGTTGGCTGCATGATTGGTTTTCGTGTAACATGAACGCAAGCCACTCTCCTTCAGAAAATCCCCTGAAAGGCATCTCTTACCTTAGTTAGATATCCCTCGTTTTGCTTTGTCTTAATTTTTAATTCATAACAATTTGGTTGAATGTTTCGTACATTGCCAACATCTGTCAAGGCATGTGGATGATAAATACTGTTTTTAAACTCGTTCGTCAGTTTCCGAGGGTTATGATCGTTATTATCGATTTTATCTCACCATATTGTGTGAATGAGATTTAATGCTGGCTGAAGACAATACAATTAGCTCCCCCCCCCAAAAAAAAAAGAGACAGTGGGGAAAATCATCAAGGATTTTGCAAAAATAAGATAGAGACAGAAATGCATAAAAATGATCAAGGTTACAAAGGGAATATCGACCTCCATAACCAATTAACGGAAGAAAACATTTGCTGGAATATTCAAAGGAAGAAAAATCGATGAAGTCTCTTCTCAAGTGTCTTGCGTTTCCCATTTTTAATGTGCGCATAGCCTACCTTTAAACCAGTTTACCGATGTATAATTAGGGCTATATTTGAAAAAAATCAGAAAAGCAGATCATTGAAAGAGTGTGTGTGTGTGTGTGATTATGGCAAAGCCTCGAGGACTCTCTGCCTAAGGGCAGGGATGCCTTCGTGGAGACTTCTAAGGAACTGCTCGTATAACGTTACACACATGGGAAAACACGAAAAACGCCCATGCAGCCAGCCCTCCGCGGGATTCGAACCTCGGACCGACTACCAGTGTTCAGTGACTTTACCGCTCGGCCGCTGTTGGGCCATTGAAAGAGAGAGACGGCTGTATTTACTATATGAATACTGTGACATACATTTCCTCATTCGAATTTCACTTTGAATTTTGCATTTCAGTCCTTTTAAATAATTTAATGAATCTGGTAATTTTGAGGGGTTCCCCCCCCCGAATTTTAATAAAAGGAAAGGAAAAGAGGAAAATTACATTGGCGCAAAAAGCTGTTTCTGTTATTAATTATTTGATTGCTTAAGGTCTTAGTACCATTTCGTCTTTTCCCGATTCATCCTTAGCTCAAAATAATGCCAATTCGTCCTTCATTCGCTCCACGAAAAGTCACTTTCTGATACAGTTAAAATGTTTTACCGCACTAACAGTTAAAATGTTTTACTTGCTATTTGGTCCTTATTATTTTGACCAGTCATAGCATCTAACATGATCATCTGTAGCACCAGACGAATTTTATCTCTGAGAAAAGATCATCTTGGGTGATATTCAATACCAGTATTCAGTTTATGTACCCAGAAATATTGGTCACTTTAGAAATGACCTCTCAATGGGTTTAATCTAGTTATTTTAAAACTTATATGCTTGTCTCGGAAAGGAAATTTATTAGCCCAAAGGGCGTTAGCCCAGAAGGGCTATTAATTTCAAAACGGCATTTTGCGTCTATTCACTTTTCACACTGTTGACACCAAATATTATCGCCATGTATTATATTTAAAGAAACTAAATAATGAAGAATCTCCATGAATGCATGAATGTTTCTCGCACTGTGAAAAAACAACGGCACCTAAGAGCCATCTAATTTTGAATAACGTAGTCTTCTAACCGAACATGTGAACTTGGAAGCCCGAATTTTGAATTGGTTTTATTATCTATTTCAAATTTTTTAAAACTTTAACGAAGCCATTTCAAAACGAACAATGGAAAAAAAAAAAAAAAACTCCAACGTGCGAGATTTTAAAGAAATGCTGTTTTTTTTTAAATATTTTGTGATATTGCTGTTGAATTGAATTTTATGTGTTTTAAGTGCGAAGAACATGATATTTTATAAATAAAGGTAATACAAAACGTTAACAAAAAAATCTGAAAGGTTTCAGATTTTAAATTACGCCTAAAAGGGCGTTTTTTTTTTTTTTTTTAACGCTTTGCTTTTTTAACCCTTATTTATTAATTAACATGTTCCTCGCACTTAAAACATAAAATTCAGTTTAACAGCAATATCGCAAAATAATTTTTAAATGAGCATATCTCTAGAATTTTCGATACACAGTTCCGCGCGATGGAGACCAAAATGTTTCTTTTCCTCCCATAAAGTGTTGCCATGGCTCGCTCTTAAATCGTTGAGTTTGTTAAACAAATTCGTTAAAGTTTTACAAAATATGAAATAGGTAATAAAATAAAATCCAGACTCCAAATTTGGGCTTCCAAGATGCCCATATTCGGGTGGAAACATACGTTATCCAAAATTGGATGGTTCTAGGTCACATTCTTTTAACACAATGCGAGATACATACATACATTTCTGCAGATGCTTCATTATTTAATTTCTTTAAATATAATACAGGCCTGATTTTGGTGGCACAATTTGAAAAGTGATACCCTTTAAAGTTTTCAAACCTGCCAAACAAAAATATCGCCTTCAGGGCACTTGCGCTTTGGACTAAAAATGCCCGGGGGGCGAAGAAAATCGAAAGGCGCCTTTTCAAAGGCGGGGTTTTTCCTTTTTCTTTTCTTTTTTTTTTTTTTTTCTTTTTTTTTTTTTTTTTTTTTTTTTTTTTTTTTTTTTTTTTTTTTTTTTTTTTTTGTTTTT